AATCTGGATGTGATGGAGAGAGGAATGGAGCAAAAGGTGCTTTGAATGCTCTTTTGGCTATATAAGCAATCAGGCTCTCAGTGAAATAAGCGGTGCAGGATATCACTGCTATCATGCTTGAAAACAAAATTTGATCAGTCAGAACATTTTGCTTCTCTTACTAACAACCAGTAGACATCGAAAAAAAAAAGTTCCGGTGAGATGTACTTTCAGGAAAGTGGATGGTTATTCTGGTTGTGAATTCTGAAAAGATGAGACGCATACATCGAAAAGTCGATGGGTATTAGCTGGAAGTATGTACTAAGAATCGAAAGGCTACCAAGCGTGCAGAAGCATTCCAATATTATCATTAAAATGGTATTTTAAATTTACTGTTCGCTTGGTGACACTTATCTTACAGATTACCGTGGAGCTTATTGTTCAGGTAATTCAGTACAGAAACTATGCAAAACAAATAATTGGCCAACGCCCGTGCGAAGATGCGTTTTTTGCTTAGCTTCCCGCAGTTTTCGTCGCTACCGGCATTGGTTTTTTCGGCAAATGCTTCTGTCTGAACAAATTAAGACTGGCCGCCAGAACTGGCAGGAAACAGCCCCTTAAAATTTCAGCTTTCTAGCTTTCCTGGTTCCTGATTTATCACCTACTTGGGCGGGGAACATCTCCCTAAGATTTCAGTATTCTAGCTTCGCAGATCCCCGAGTTATGAACTTACCCGAAAAAAATTTTGGCGGGCACATACGCGGTTAATGGTGCCAATTTTGGGGGTTGGGGTCGGCGCGTGCATGTAGATTAAGTTTCCGAAATTTCAGCCTTGCAGTTTTTACAGGTCATGAGATGAAAGTGCGTAACAGACACATACATAGACACACAGACACACAGACGCGCAGACACACGGACATACAGACAACCCCTTGTCAATATGCGTTTTTGCACTGCATAGCTGCAAAAAAAAATGCATAAAAACTATAATTTTCAGAATATTTTTTACGATCGCTCTGGCCTATAATCATTTTTCCATATAAATGATTTCAGAACCCCAACCTCAAACTGTCTGCTTAAATCAGCTACTGCAGTAACAATTCTTTCGAGATTCGTCGGTCTGCTATGAATTAGCAGTACGTTGTTTCAGCACGCAAGATGATCTGCTAACTTACTTTCTAAAAACCGGACCGAAAAAGAAATCATGCAAAGTCAGGCAGGTGCTGGGTGAAATTTATCGCATGAGCTATTTCAAACATCTGTAAATCTCAGCTAAAGTAAAATAGCGCCTCATGAGTTTAATAAAACGATGTGTGTTTGTATATGTTTGTATGTGCGTATGTGTGCGTTCTTGTGCATGCTTTCGCGTATTTGCGTGTGGATATAGTATATATCTGTGTTTGTGTGTGTTTGTATGTGTGTGTGTGTTTGTGTGTGTAAACTGCTTGCAGCAAGCAGTTGCAAATTTCACATTTTTGTACCTAAATGAGAAACAGAGAACGCACATTACAACTGAGTACTCCGAAACCAAACATTTCTGTCCTTTGTTTTGCAACTAATAACAAATTAGCTGCTCTATGGGTGCGGATGGGTGGCTCTTACTTTCTCTTATGATTCGTTGATAAAGTTACAGGTGGCTGCGGGTCGTGACAAGAAAGACATGCCAGTACTTATCTGCTATGGTATTGCTGAATCAGAATTCGCTAGAAGATGACTGTTGCAGCGCACTGCAATATTTTACCTATTATGTAGTAATGTAAAAAATTAATTTGTCAAAAGCTTAGTACCAGTAAATTCAGAAATTCTTGCCGTACTTCACTGTTTCTACACATTCAAAAAAAAAAAAATTAATTTTTCAAATCAAAGCACTTTGCTTAATAAAAAAGATAATTTCTTGGGGTAGTAGTAGAGTTATATAAGAAATTTATGAAATATTATATAGTGTACTAGAGGAGGAGAGAAAAAGGAACGTCCCATCAGTTCCTAATGAAAAATAAAATTGTCACGGAAAACCCACAAAAGTCAGGCCAAAAAGCTGCCACAAAGAATGAAAGAAAGGTGTATCTTGCCTTGGAAGACAGATATATAGAAGGCGTGTTGCCAGGCCGAACCTGAAGCACATAGACCAGTAAAGTAGTGGTGACAATTTGTGTCCAGTTGTGAAGAGAAGTGATTCGATTCTTCCCTCATCCAAAACTTTTTTTGAAAAAGGGCTCCGTTCATAAGAATTATCTGGCAGTGAAGTGAGCGACAACACTTTGCCAACAGCAACCATTCTCCGTCACCATCAGCGGCGGTGTTTTCGAAAGAGCACCTTTGAAAGATGTGCGCTTTGTGAAATGAAAACAAGCTTTTCACCCATGTCCACCTATGTCTCACAGAGCTCAAACCCTGCCCTCGGGTATGAATGCATGGTGGCCACGTACGGGCCCACCAAAATTAGTCGCTAACTTGAGAATTTGAACAGCTAGAGGAGTGAACTTTTGAAAGAATGTTTTCTGACAGTCCTGACGGCCAGTCTGCGCCATAACCGCGCTGTGGGGCTTTAAATTTACAGTCCGAGTGAATACATAGACAAGATACATATTCGATTAACAATAAACTGATAAAACACAGGATATCGAATATTTCTCTCTTCCTTTTGTCGATATTTTATAGTGTTTTCGAAATGTTTATTGTGCACATAAATAGCAAACGTCAGTTAGTGCTGGTTCGCGTGTTTCATAAAGCGACTAAATTTCGAAGAGGTTAAAAAGTCCTCTCAAGTTTTGGCACAGTAATTTTATAGAAGCGTAAGATTCTGATCATTGCATCATCTGTTTGCGTTCACTAGCTTGCGCATTTGATGAGGAACATTAAAAACGATCAAAATTATTGTTTTTAAAAAAATTTTCTGTAATCGGGCTATTGCTAATAATTATGCGAACAAACAGCTGCCACATGATCAGCCTATATAAGAGAGAATGAACCAGTAAGACAGTAGTACTGCATCAGTGTCGTCAGTTGTGCATCATCTCCGCACCGCAACCGAGATCTCCGTGT